CCATCACGGCCTCTCTGCCCCCTTGGGTTCAAGAGAGACCCCCTCCTTGGGGGCTGCTGTCCCCAGTGTAGACTCCTGCCTTGGCACCCGAAAATGGGGGGTCCACTCATGCCTTTTTCTTCTCCTCTTGGATGAACTCCTCCCAGGCAGGAATGCAGTCCAATTGCCCAATTGCTTGGGCAATAAAATCCCTGGGCTTTCCAGTGCCGTGATTGATTTGATTGGTGACATCTGCCTTTGTCCGCGGCAGGGGAGAGTGCCGTGATTGATTGGTGGTGTCTGCCATTGTCCACAGCCTGGGACAGGGTAGCAGCACACACGTGGGAGGTGCGGTGAGTCAGAGTCCCAGGAAGCTCAGCTCCAGAGTCTGACGCTGGGATCTGTAGAAAGGCTTTCACAAGACCAGATTGAGACTAGTCTTGTCTGGATTGAGATCTGAAACAGCCACCACTTGAAGAGTCATCGGCTAGATGATCTCAAATGTATGCTGACATTTCCCCCAAAAAGATTTACAAATGGCCAGTGAAGTGCTGGAAAGACGGTCAGTATCATCAGTCCTCAGGGAAAAGTAAATCAAACCCAGAGTGAGATACCACATTCCTCTGTGGCTCAGCTGGTAAAGAATCCGCCTGCAACGCGGAAGACCTGGGTTCTATCCCTGGGTTGGGAAGATCCCCTGGAGAAGGGAAAGGCCACCCACTCCAGTATTCTGGCCTGGAGAGTTCCATTGACTGTACAGTCCATGGGGTTGCAAAGAGTCGGACACGACTGAGTGATTTTCACTTTCATACATATCTTCACGTCTGCGTCTGCTACGAAGCTATAATTAAAAAATGGAAAATACCAAGTGTTGGTTGGGCTATGGAGAAACTGGAACCCCATACACTGTTGCTAGGGATGTAAATTGGGGTGGCCACTGTTGAAAACAGGTTGGCTGTTCCTCAACAAGTTAAACATAGAGGAACACATGATTTCCATGTGATTCAGCAATTATTTGAAAGCAGGAACTAGGGACTTTCCTGGTGATCCAGCAGTTAAGACTCCCAGTGTTAAGTTGGGAGTTAAGTTGGGAGCACTCAGTTAAGTGCTTCCAAATCAGAGGGCCTGGGTTTGATTTCTGGTCAGGGAACTGGTCAAACCAGTCAATCCTAAGTAAATCAACCACTCTCTGACATAAATCACAGCAGGATCCTCTATGACCCACCTCCCAGAATATTGGAAATAAAAGCAAAAATAAACAAATGGGACCTAATGAAACTTAAAAGCTTTTGCACAACAAAGGAAACTATAAGCAAGGTTAAAAGACAGCCTTCAGATTGGGAGAAAATAATAGCTAATGAAGCAACAGACAAAGGATTAATCTCAAAAATATACAAGCAACTCCTGCAGCTCAATTCCAGAAAAATAAATGACCCAATCAAAAAATGGGCCAAAGAACCAAACAGACATTTCTCCAAAGAAGACATACAGATGGCTAACAAACACATGAAAAGATGCTCAACATCACTCATTATCAGAGAAATGCAAATCAAAACCACAATGAGGTACCATTACACGCCAGTCAGGATGGCTGCTATCCAAAAGTCTACAAGCAATAAATGCTGGAGAGGATATGGAGAAAAGGGAACCCTTTTACACTGCTGGTGGGAATGCAAACTGGTACAGCCGCTATGGAGAACAGTGTGGAGATTCCTTAAAAAACTGGAAATAGAACTCCCATATGACCCAGCAATCCCACTCCTGGGCATACACACCGAGGAAACCAGATCTGAAAGAGATACGTGCACCCCAATGTTCATCGCAGCACTGTTTATAATAGCCAGGACATGGAAGCAACCTAGATGCCCACCAGCAGACGAATGGATGAGGAAGCTGTGGTACATATACACCATGGAATATTACTCAGCCATTAAAAAGAATTCATTTGAATCAGTTCTAATGAGATGGATGAAACTGGAGCCCATTATACAGAGTGAAGTAAGCCAGAAAGATAAAGACCAATACAGTATACTAACACATATATATGGAATTTAAAAAGATGGTAATGATAACCCTATATGCAAAACAGAAAAAGAGACACAGATGTACAGAACAGACTTTTGGACTCTGTGGGAGAAGGCGAGGGTGGGATGTTTCGAGAGAACAGCGTCAAAACACGTATATTATCTAGGGTCAAACAGATCACCAGCCCAGGTGGGATGCATGAGACAAGTGCTTGGGCCTGGTGCACTGGGAAGACCCAGAGGGATCGGGTAGAGAGGGAGGTGGGAGGGGGGATCGGGATGGGGAATACATGTAAATCCATGGCTGATTCATGTCAATGTATGACAAAACCCACTACATTATTGTAAAGTAATTAGCCTCCAACTACTAAAAATAAGTGGAAAAAAAATAAAATTAAAAAACTAAGTAAATCAACCCTGAATATTCACTGGAAGGACTGATGATGAAGCTGAAGCTCCAGTACTTTGGACACGGGATGTGAAGAGCTGACTCATCAGAAAAGACCCTGCCTGACGCTAGGAAAGATTGAGGGCAGGAGGAGAAGGGGATGGCAGAGGATGAGATGGTTGGATAGTATCACTGACTCAGTGGACATGAATTTGAGCAAACTCCGGGAGATACTGGAGGACAGAGGATCCTGGCGTGCCGCAGTCCATGGGGTTGCAAAGAGCTGGACACGACTCAGCAACTGAGCAACAATAAGAAGGAACTAGATCCCACACGCCGTGACTAAGAGCCTGCATGCTACAACAAAAAGATTCTGTGTGCTGCAATTAAGGACCTGGCCCAGCAAAATGAATAAGTACTTTAAAAAAGGAAAGTAGGGACTCAGACAGATACTTGTGCACTCTTGTTCACAGGAGCACTAATCACAGCAGCCAAAAGGTGTAAATAACCCGAGAATACATCAGCAGGTAAACGGATACACAGAATGTGGCATATCAATGAAATGGAATACCACTCAGCCATAAAAAGAATGAAACACCGATACAACATGGATGCACTTTGAAAACATGCTAAGTGAAAAAAAAGCCAGACACAAAAGACAACATATTGTATGACCCACTGACATGAAATGTCCGGAAAAGACAAATCCAGGGAAACAGAAATAGATCAGTGGTTGATGGGGGCTGAGGAAGGGAGGATGGGGACTCATTGCTGCTGGGTTCAGGGTGTCTTTGGGGGAAAATGCTGTGGGACTAGATAGAGGTGAGAGTTGCCCAACGTTGTGAATGCCCCAAATGTCACTGAATTGTACACTATTTTTTTTGGCCGCGTTATGTGGCACGTGGGATCTTAGTTCCCTGAACCCTGAACCTTGCCCCCTCCTTTGGAAGTATGAAGCCTTAACCACTGGACTGCCAGGGAAGTCCCAGAGTCGTATACCCTTAAATGGTTAAAATGGTGAATGTTACGCTGTGCACGCTTGACCACAATTAGAGCTGATTCCTCCTACCGCTGTCCATACAGGAGAGTATGGTGTCCCCAGGGCGGCAGCAGACGTGGACACAGGTGGATTCAGGTCAAGGTGGTCAAAAGACAGAACTGACATACACGGTGATTGACGGGATGCGGGGGCGGGGACAGAGAGCAAAGGATCTGGGTTGACTGCGCCCTGTGTCTGGGTGGCCGGGCGCCTGTCCCATGGGTGGGCAGACACAGGAGGAGCAGTCTGGACATAGCGACCCCTGTGGGGCCCCGGCAGGCAGTGGTGTGCGTGGGTCTGGGCTGGAGGTCACGTCCAGACTCCTCAGTGAACAGATGGGAGTGGATCCGGCCCGAGCAAGAGAGGCGGGCCAGGAGTAGGATTGGGGACAGTCTTAGGGTACCCCGACTGCACCCCGCCTTGCAGCAGGTGCCCCGTCCCCTCTCGGAAGGCTCTCTGCTGGTGAGGACTTGTTTGGTCACTGAGCACATTTGAGGGGGGCTTTGGAGAGGAGCCCGTGAAGGAAACTGAGGGGGGAGGGGAGGGGAGCCCACAGAGGGTGGACTGGCCTCATGGAGCCCCAGCGCCACCTGCCCGCTCTGACACTTTGCACACAGGTGTCTCCAGGGTGATGAGAGTGAAGTGGCCAGAAGCTCAGGGTTCAGATCCGCCCCTCTGCCCCAGATTATCTAGGAAGACTGGGCAGGCTTCTGCACGTTGGCACTGATGCTAGGCAGGTCATTCCGGGTCATTCTCGGTGGTGGGGCCGCCCTGCGCACTGTAGCACGTTCAGCATCTCTGGCTTCCAGAGGCCGGGAGCCGCCCCAGGTGTGACAATCAAACATGTCCACATTGCTAAATGTCACCTCCGCAGAGAGCGCTGCCTTAGACAAAGCACTTCTCTCGGGGCTTTGGTTTCCCCTCTGCAGATACAGCCCTAAAGCCCACCTCCTGGGATGCAGTGAGGTTCTGACAATTCCATAACCAGAGCAGGTGGCGCATCGTAAGGACTCTAGGTCGGTAAGACAGTGAGAGGAGTGTGAAGCGTCAGGCCCGGTGCGGGAACCCAGCAGGTGTCACTTTGAGCAGGGTTGGCGAGGCCCTGGGTTTGGGAGGCTGGCTTCAGGGCAGGCGATGAGGACCCCAAGGCGGCCCTGGGAGAAACTTCAGGAACCTCTTCTGAGCATCGTCACTGCTGACGCCTGTGCCCTGGGCCATCACACACTCAGGAGGCCCCAGCCTGGCTCCGCAGCAAGCCCGGGGGAGCGCCCGCCCGGGGTCTGCTGTGAGCGGCTGGCCCCAGCCATGAGCTGTGAGGCTGAGAGGCGTGGGCTTCATGACTTCCAGGGGCCCCCTGCCTGTCTCTACTCTGAGGAGCCCAACCCCAGCTCATCCAGCAACTTGCCCCACGGAGCAGGCTCCCAGGATCCTCTGTTCCTGGGGACCCACCCCAACCCCTCCGCCCCCCGGCTGGCCTGCGATGCCCTGGTTTTGGCCCTTGAAGCCCCAGGTCCTGGCGAATCTCTCCTTCCTGGGCAGGCAGCCACCTCGGCAGTCCCAGTCCAGGTACGTGCAGCCAGGCCCTGGGCCGTCGAGCTCGCCAGCTGGGATCCCTGCAGGCGGAACGGTCGGGTCACCTCATTAGGGCTGGAGCAGAAATAGAACCGGCAGCGCCAATTAGCAGCTGCTCGTGTACCCGGGGCCAGCAAATCCATGGCCGCCTCCCTGAGGACGGACGCTGGAGGGTCATGGAAAATTCCACACGCAGTCTTCCTCCCCTGGAGGGTGGGGCTGTGAAGACGCCCCATCCCTGGGAATGCTCCGGCTTCGCCTCTTGCCTGTCCGCAGGCCTGGGAAGGGGAGAGCCTTTCAGGGCAGGGGAGGCGGGACCCCAGAAACCCTGCTTCCATCAGTGGGGGGTAGAGTGGGGGGGATTTTGACGTTCGTTCACACTCTCCGGGTAAGACTGCTGAGGGAGATGAGGTAAGCCCTGCCTCTCCCTGTCCCGTCCAGAATCTGGGGTCCGGGCTCTGCACAAGCCCTGCACCTGGGCCGGGGGACCCCCTGCTCACTCCCCTGCCCTAGAGGCTGGCTGAGGAGCAGATGCCCAGACGGGGCCTGGCACACAGCCGGCACCAGATCACTGCTGCCGGGAGCCAGTTTCTGCCTTTCCAACTGTCTCCAGCCTCGTAGCCTCGTAGGGACCCACCTCAGCTGGTGTGGGCAGACACCCCTGCGAGAGGCTGAGGACCTGCTCTGATCCAAGCTGCTCTGCTAGCCGGCCGGGGACCTGGGGCCATTGCCATGTCTCTCCGGCCCGCTGTCCTCTGGCTGTCCTCCCTCGCTGCTCCTCCAGAGTGAAGGAGGGACAGCAGAGACAACTCGAGCTGGGCCGTCAGAGATGCTGGGGGGAATCCAGCTCAGACTGAGTCGTGGCGCTGGTTTCCGGGCCTCCAGTCGCCCGTCCACAAAGTGGGGGTGCAGAGTGAGGACTCTGAGGCGCCCCCACCCCAGGGCTCTGACAGTCCAAGGCTCCCAGGCGTCGGGCCCACTGTCTGCCATCATCTCTGTCCTCTGTGCTCTGTGGCTTCCCTGGGCGGGGCGCGTGGGGGAGCGCTGAGGCCAGGGGCGCAGGGCTTGCTTTGTCTCCGGCTCGCACTTCTGCAGAAGGAAATCCACCCCTTCACTACCCTCTTCTTCTTCCAACAAGGAAACAGGCTGAAGCTGGTACGACCAAGCGTCACAGTGTGAATTCAGATCCACAGGAAGACGTGTAAAGGAGGGGCCTTCCTGGGGGGCCCCTCTCCCACGGGGGTGAGTGGCCTGCAAGTCTGGGCTAGCTGATTCCCACCCCCATCACAACTGCCACCCCCTTCCCCCCACCAAGCCCCAGCCCCCAGGCGGGGCAGGAATTCCCGGAGAGCCTGGCCTGGTCAGAGCCTGGCCTGGTCGAGGAGTCTGGTTGCAGTTGAAAAGCCAGGGCTTCAGGGTTGTGTAAACTGACTTCTCTGGTGTTCACAGAGCACCTCCCAAGTGTTAGAGCCCAAGTCCCCAAACCGATCAGAATCCTGACTTTGGGGGACGCCTGCGTCTCATCAAGGCAGTTTCTCACGTGTTGCTTCCTTTGATCTGCACAGGAACCTGTGCATTGTCCTGCCCATTTTACAGATGGGGAAGGGGAGGCCCAGAGAGGGACTGGGGCATGGCCAGGTTACACAGGTTTGGCCCCACAGGGTGACTCGGGGGTGCCCAGGAGATGAGGGGAGAGGACCGAGGGGGGCTCTGGACTCCTGGTGTCCCGCCCTTCCAGGGCCCGGGACCAGGGCTGGGGAGGCAGGCGCCGCCTCCGTGGGTGGTTAACGTGTGGAAGCTCGGATTCCTCAGCTGGGGGAAGCGCGACGGTATCTCCTCCCAGTTTCTGAATGCTTGGATTCCTCCTCCGTTCTGTGGGTGCGGTGACTCAGACCCGTCTGGGCTCCCACAGGCCGCGGGCTGGATGCCTGGCTGGGGGACTCTGGGTGTGGCTGAGGCGGGCAGCCGTGGAGGAGCGTCTGGGGTCAGTGGCTGGCCGAGGAAATGAGGAAGCAGGGGAGTGGGCCGGCCGGGGGAGGGCTGCACCCCGCCAGGCTCCGCGGTGCTGGCCTTGGCTGAAAGCCCAGGGCAGCGAGGCTGGGATGCTGGGATGCTGGGCGAGTGAGCCAGGTGTGAACCAGGACCCAGCAGGACGCCTCCCGCTGCTCCCAGCCCTGCTTCCCTCCACCCCCACTCCACCCCCTGAGCCTTCCCCCACTTCCCTCCGGCTCCCTCCCTCTCCCCTTGATCTTAAGAAGAGCCCAGGGAGACACGCAGGGTGGTGATTATGAGCCCATTTTACAGATGGGGAAGGTGAGGCCAGAGAGGGCTGGGACTTGTTCAGGCATCGCCCTGTGCCACCGCCACCTCCTGCCCCAGCGGAGAAGCTTCTCCTAGACGCCACGCTGAGAATGATAAACTCTGCGGCCTGATCAGGGAGCAAGAGCTCTGCGTTTCAGCAGATCCTGCCAAGGCCAAGATCCACCCCAGCCAAGCTGGGCTAAGGGTCCAGAAAGAGATGACAGGGTTCCAAGCCTTATGCAGCCCACCCGGGACGGGGGTCCTACCAAAAGGCCAGCGAGACCCCTTAGCAGAGTGACGCAGGAGGGGAGGAAACTGGCATGCAGAGATGCCCGCCTCAAGGACCCACAAATTCGAGCCCAGGGCTCACAGAGGAGGCTCTGCAGGCGGCACCTGGGGCCCCTGGGAGCTGCCAGGCCCACCAGGTGAGAGGGAGCCTGGCCTCGTGGACTCTGGCCGGAGTCCCCTCTCTGTCCGCCTTCTCGGGCCTGGGCTCCCACCAGGTTGGCCACTGCCCCCGCCCCCCCCCCCCGCCCCCCACGGCCTGATGCTCAAGGCCAGGGCAGGAGTGTGTCCAGTCTTGGGCTCAGGGGCGCAGAGCAGGCCGCTGGACCTGGGGTGCCTGGAGGGCTTTGGCAAGGGCCCCGGGATGCCGTCCATGTGTCTCACTTCAAACACGGGCGCGTTCCTGTTGGCCAGGCTGCACCCCAAGCAGCCTCCTGGGCTTGCTGATTCCGCCCTGCCTCGTGCCCCTGCCCGGTGGCCCGAATCTTTGCTTCACTCTGCGCCATCTCGATATGGCTGGAAGGGGCTGCATGCGGGAGGCGGCCTCCAGCAGAGGCCCCCTGCACCCCCCCCTGCACCCGGGCCTGGGAAGCATGTGTGGCTGGCGGCCCTGGTGGAGCGGCGTGGGGTGGGGGAGGGCGTGGAAACCGGAGAGAGGGGAAGGACCCAGCCCGCTCCGCTCGAAGCGGCGCCCCGGGATTCCTGCACTGAGGCCACCCTGGGCTGGCCCCTGGGCTCCTCTCCTCCAGCCCAGGTCCAGCCTACCCTGGGCCATGCGGTGAAAGAGGGGCTGAAGTGGGCAGAAGGCCCTTGGAGGGTGCCCTCGGGTCACTTCACAGCAGCTGTGCCCCAGGGCCTTCTTCGGATCCATCACTGGGGTGTCCCCGCCCCAGAAGGGCTGGGCCCCGTCCCCCTGCAATGTCCCGGTGGGAGCTGGCTGGGCAGCCACTGTCCTCCTCTGGAAGAACCAGGTCATCCGGAAAGCGGGCGGATGACGAGGAATGGCCGGTGCAGACCCCACAACGCATCCCTGCGCCTCGGGACTTGTTGCTCTAACTGTAGAACTGGGCGGATAAAGACCTGATCCTGGGATTTTAATTTTGTTCCCGGTGTCTGGATGTAAGGAACCAAACGAACGCCCGGGGGTGTCCTGCTCCCCGCACGGGCGTCTCTCCTATCTGGCCTGGCAGGTCTCCTGTCCTTCTAACTGTCTCCCCTCCCCCACCTACCTGGTCAGATCGAAGTTTCCAGGGTGTAAAGTTCACCCCAACTGTGGAGCCTGGAGGTAAACACATTGGCCCACCAGCCTCCCCCAGCTTTCACCTCTTCTCGGGGCTCCCAGGAAGAGAACCACACAAGCCTTTGCAAACAGCATCGAAGAAAACTCCACAGCTGTCAATTCAAGCAGCTAATGCTCGGAGCAGCTGCAAGAGCAAGGCTGGGCTCAGACCCTGCTTGGGGAACGGCGTCCACACTGAGCCTTCTTCGGGGAGATAATGAGGAATCCTGGGTGTGAAAGAAAGCTGAACACTGAAGAACTGATGCTTTTGAACTGTGGTGTTGGAGAAGACTCTTGAGAGTCCCTTAGACTGCAAGGAGATCCAACCAGTCCATCCTAAAGCAGATCAGTCTTGGGTGTTCATGGGAAGGACTGATGTTGAAGCTGAAACTCCAATACTTTGACCACCTGATGTGAAGAGCTGACTCATTGGAAAAGCCCCTGATCCTGGGAAACATTGAAGGTGGGAAGAGAAGGGGACGGCAGAGGATGAGATGGTTGGATGGCATCACCGACTCGTTGGACATGAGTTTGAGTAAACTCTGGGAGTTGGCAATGGACAAGGAGGCCTGACGTGTTGCAGTCCATGGGGTCGCAAAGAGTCGGACGCGACTGAGCGAGTGAACTGAACAGGGTATGAGCTGGAGTGCTCCCATTGGCCAGAGAGGACACAGCAGGCAGGAGGTGGATGAGGTATTTTGCAGATTCCTGTTTCTGGCTAGAAAACATGGTGTAGATATAAAGAGCAGTTTATAGCAGGGGTCTTCCTACTTCATTTTCTCTATCAGTTAAAGAAAAAAAAGAACAGAAATCCCAGAATGTGCATGCTTATTTATAAATACCTATGCAGGGACCTCTATTAGTTCATATGCTAGGGCTTCCCAGGTGGCGCTACTGATAAAGAACCCATCTGCCAATGCAGGAGACATAAGAGATGCGGGTTTGATCCCTGGGTTGAGATCCCCTGGAGGAGGAAATGGCAACCCACTCCAGTATGCTTGCCTGGAAAACCCTATGGACAGAGGAGGCTGGAGGGCTATCAGTCCAGGAGGCTACCGAGAGTCGGACACGACTGAGCACACACATGGTATGTGATGCATGGACCTCTATTAGTTCATATGCTAAATATGAGCAAAATTCAATGTGCTTTTTTTTTTCCAGCTACAAGAGAAACGGAAAGGGAAGTTTGGCTGTCTTCGCCCCCACACCCACTGCATCACCGTGGCTGCGGTTTCTGGGACTAAGTCCGATGCGTCCCAGGCCCTGAGACCGTCCAGGACTGGCTCACGCTCTCCTCCGAGCGGGGCGGTCGCTGTTCCCAGGGCCGCGGCGCAGGCGTGGTGGATGTCCGTGCAGCACTGGCGGGGAGCCGGGGGTCTGTGACCTCCCGACCCAGGGTCTTGAAAGCTGTTGTCTCTGTTTTTCTGTCTTTTCACCTGCCGGCCCACCCTCCGCACAGCAGAGAAGACGGCCCCCAGCCTTTCTGAGCTCTCGCAGCTTCTGCCATGAGAAAAAGGCCCGTGATCTGCTCCCATCTCAGAGCCCTCCTGGGGAAGGGATGCGTCGGCCCAGGTCAGGTCAGATGCCCACTGCTGCCCCGCAGGGCTATGGCCAGGGAGCAGGGTCTTAAGAGGGCAGGGCAGCCCACAGAGACACTTGTGTGTGGGGACAAGGGGCCGCAGGAGAAGGGGGCGCTGGGAGGTCCCGGGGGGCCTTTTCCACTGCCAGAGGGTCATTTCTAAATCACATATCAGCTCATGTCACTCTCTTTCCTAAAGTCCACTGGTAATTCCTGCTCTTCAAAGCCAAGGTCCCCATGATCTTAGCCTTTCTACTTTGTTTACATCAAAAAAAGTTCTCACCGTCTTTTATGAATGAAAAAAAAAGGAAGACAAACTCTCAGAACTAACAAGAGATTATCTCATGGGGTGGAGGGGACTGCATCCGAGGCAAAAATATCCAAATCCCACTTACATAAAACACGCGGAGACCCAGCAAGGTGAGGGAAAGACTCCTACGAGACACAAAACTTCCCTGAAGCTCATAAAAGGTACGGCTAGAGCCAGATAGGAGGGAGTTTTCTTGGCGTAAAGTTGGGTGAGTAATTCACGGCAAGGCGAGCCTCTCTGAAAGATATTTCTGAGTCTCTTAAAATACAAAATACTTCCAGACAAAAAACTCCCTGTGTTCCCTCCACTCAGGGCAATCCCTGTAGCATTTTGGGGGCCTTCCTGCGGTGGATGTCGTGCGGTCACCTGCCCCACCCACGCCCCACTCTAACGGTCACAGAGTTTGGGGGCGGCTGACCACAAGCCTTGCTCCAGACATGGGCCCTGACTGGCCTAAGCCAACCAGAGTGAGGCCAGCCACCTTTACAAAGGGCTTGCTTACAGGAGAGTAGGCACCCAAGTCTCAACTGGGTGGGGCCGAGCTCTCACTTCCCTGGCTGTGAATGAGGGCGCCTGTAGCTGTGCTAGCTGCTGGCAGCCAGGTTGTGATGATGAGGGAAGTCAGCTTGAGACCCAAGGCTGCCCACAGAGCGGGGACAGGATCCAGACCACCGCAGAGAAGCGGATCTGCCGCCTGGATTGCATGGTGCCAAAGGCCTTTCTCATACCTGGACTTTTCTAGGCACTGAACTAATCAATCCTCTTTAGTGTTTCCATCAGCTGAATTATGTTTTCTTCATCTGGAAGCATCTTAGCTGACTCAGTGACCTTCTAGAATTTTCCTTCTGGGTCTACACGCTAAACTTCTCCCAATAAATGTAACCTGCCTCTTACACTTAACAATAAATTGTCAACCTTGTTAAAAAAAAATGAAGATGGATTTTTAATGGTTGCACTGTTACACTGGTTGTCTCATAATTCATTCAACCCATTTCATTTGGAGCGGGACATTTAGATTGTTTCCAGCTTTTCACCATTTTCAATAATTAACAGAGAGCCTGTATATATCTTCACTCGTTTGTCCAGCTATTTCCTTTGGATAAATCCCTAAAAGAGCAGTCAGAGCATCACAGCGTGTGTGTACTCACTGGGCTTTTCCTTCATCTTATCAAATTGTGCTTCACCAGTGGGACATCTATTTACACTCCACCAACACCTCTTTCTGACACTGTTACCAACATCATCCCTGTCCATCTTTGGTGGCCTGTTGATTAGTGGTATTTATTTTTTATTAAAAAAATTACTAAAAAGTCCTGTTATCATTTGTTCATTTACCACTTGCATTTCTTCTTTGACTATGTCCTTTGCTGTATATATTCAAAACATATACTTAATTATAAAATCAGACTGTCTCCTCTTGGAGTCTTTCACTTCCTCATTGATAAGATTTAGCACCATGTTAACACGTTTTAACACCGTGTCAGACATGGCATACATTTTGTCCAATTAAAAAATACTGCTAAACAATGGAGCATATTTAGGTTGTCAAATCCGTTTCGTCAGATGGCTCCTGCCAGAGTTGGGTTGGTGGGTCGGGAGGTGCTGAGGTTCCTCCTCTCCCTTGCCAGCCTACCAAGGGCCGCGCTCACTAATGGGCTGGTGTGGCATTTCCAGGGCTCAGGATTGGTTTGGGGGAGGCAGCTGATACACGCAGGCTAGCAGAGGTGCCTGTGACCACAGGTACATCATAAAGCAGCTTACCCCTCCTGGAGGCGCGACTGTTAATTCTTCACGGCGATTGCTTACAATTTTGTTACATGAAAGGGAGTTGGTTAGTGGTTTGTTGTTTAGTCCTCAGTGGTGTCTGACTCTTTGCGACCCCACAGACTGTAGACCGCCAGGCCCCTCTGTCCATGGGATTTTCCAGGCAAGAATACTGGAGTGGGTTGCCATTTCCTCCTCCAGTGGATCTTTTTGATTCAGGGATCAAATTCATGTCTCCTGCAGTTACCTAGTAGTCACGTATGGATGTGAGAGTTGGATTATAAAGAAAGCTGAGCACTGAAGAATTGATGCTTTTGAACCGTGGTGCTGGAGAAGACTCTTGAGAGTCCCTTGGACTGCAAGGAGATCCAACCAGTCCATCCTAAAGGAAATCAGTCCTGGGTGTTCGTCGGAGGGACTGATGATGAAGCTGAAACTCCAATACTTTGGTCACCTGATGCGAAGAGCTGACTCATTTGAAAAGATCCTGATGCTGGGAAACATTGAGGGCAAGAGGAGAAGGAGACGACAGAGGATGAGATGGTTGGATGGCATCACCGACTCAATGGACATAGGTTTGGGTAGACTCTGGCCATTGGTGATGGACAGGCAGGCCTGGCATTCTGCGGTTCATGGGGTTGCAAAGAGTCGGACATGACTGAGCAACTGAACTAAACTGTGGTTACCTCATCTCAATTTTGGGGAACAGTTTAAGTTTCGCTTACAATTCTCAGATGAGCAAGCAAGAAGTGACCCAGGTCATGTTAGTCTTGCCTGTCTTGGAAAATAAACTAAATTAAGCTTTGCGTGTGTGACTAAACTGGTTCTTTCTGCTCAGGGCATTTTCAAGTCTGGTCTTTGTGTGTGATCTGCACGCGTCTCCCGTGTGTGGGCCTCAGAGTGCCTGATGCATCCACGGGAGACCCGGCACAGCTTTGCACTGGTCCAGGGGTCCCCCTTCACAGCCAAGAAGCGGGTGGAAGTGAGCCCAAGGCCACCAGACCCCCGGTCCTACATGTTCCCACCACCCAGGGGCTGCGTCCTGATGGAGAACGAAGCCCTGGGTGTCAGCCTGCGGGATGTGGTGTCCGCTCTGCGTGGAGCTTTGACCCATGAAGGGACCCGGATTCCAGAGTGGGAACGCTTCCAGAG